GCCACACCCTTTTCCCGGTTGTCGCCTCCTCTTTCTCTCTCTCCCATCTAGATTATATCTAGTGTATTCAATGATACGCTGTTGTTACTCCATCTCATAGATCCCCCGTTGCTCGTGTTGTGCTGGTCCACACGTTGTCGTGGTGTTGCTAATATGGTACGCGTGGATACCTTGAAAACTTTGTACACTTCGACGGTTCATCGGACAAACCTTCGCACGCTAGTTGGAGGACTTCATTGATGACATCAACTTCTCTGTTGTGTTGACGTCAATGGTATAATCTTGTTGCCTGGACCTCGATAATGATCTTGGCTTTGTTCCTGAGTGGTAGGAGGTTTTGTTTGGTAGGGCCTAGAGAGAGGGAGAAAAAACTCCTAACTTTGCATTGAGATACGAAATAACCCTCAGATCCTGCGGAAAAAAAATACGCTATACATATACTCTTGATGGCCTCAACTTGGCTGTTATTTGGTTTGCAGGAGAGTGGTGTGCCAAAAGTGGACTTGAAGAAAAGCCTAGAGAAGATAGAAAGTGCTATAAATGATGCATGTCAAGTTTTGGCACAACTGAACTTGCCAGGCGTGAGTAATGATAGTGGAAGACGGGCTGTTGCTACCAATTCACGCTGTGCTGTCACAACTGCAGGTCCCCCGCCGCGAGTGATCGGTCGAGATCAAGATCGGGACAAGATCATAGCAATGCTTCATGAGAAGGAAGACCACTGTCAAGCAAATATTGTCAGTGGTACATGCTATTATGTAATTGGCATTCATGGCATGGCTGGGTCAGGGAAATCAACACTTGCACAGTGTGTTTATGATCATGAGAAAAAGCAGAAGCAAGAGAAAATGGAAGGCCATTTCGATATTGTCATGTGGATTCATGTTTCTCAGAAATTTGATTTGGATTCCATTTTTAGGGAGATGTTTGAGGGGGCTACAGGGAAAGCATGCGATAAATTCAATAGTCGCAACGTCCTGAAGGAAAAACTGGAGGATGAACTGCGTGGGAAAGAGATTTTGCTGGTACTGGATGATGTCTGGTACAACAGTAGGAATTCAGAAGACCGTGAAGAACTACAAAACTTAATTTCTCCGCTGAATGTTGGAAAGGCGGGAAGCAGAATCTTGGTGACTAGTCGAACTGAAACTGCATTAGTATCTCTGGGTGCTGTAAAAGAGAGATGTATTCCAATATCTGACTTGGATGGTGAAGTGTTCCTTGAAATGTTCATGCATTATGCACTTAGAGATGCAAGGGTAAGTGACCATGATCGAAGAATACTTGAAATGATTGGAGAGGACATTGCAAAAAAGCTAAAGAAATCACCTCTAGCAGCCAGAACAGTGGGTTCACGACTCCGTCAGACACAAACTGTTGAGTTTTGGAGGAGTCAGAAAGATCGGGACCTTATGAATGAGACAATGGGAGCTCTGTGGTGGAGCTACCAGTACCTTGATGAGCAGGTCAGGCGGTGCTTTGCTTACTGCAGTATGTTTCCCAGATGACATCGTTTGCAAAGGGATGAGTTAGTTAACTTGTGGGTGGCAGAAGGGTTTATAAAGACTAGTACGCCAGAAGAGGAAATGGAAAATGTTGCTCAATATTACTTCGATGAGTTGTTGTCGGCATCATTTCTGCAATTAGGAGGGAAAAAATACTCATATGGACATGGCCGTAAGGTTGATTACTTTACAATTCATGATCTGCTGTGTGATTTAGCAGAGGAGGTTGCCGGAAGAGATTGCTTCAGGATCGAAAGCGGCTTCACAGGAGAAGTTCCTGAAGATGTCCGCTATCTTTTCGTTCGGACTTATAATGGAGAGATGCTTACTGAGAAGATATCTAAATTGCAAAATTTACGTACTCTCATCATTGATAAAATGATAAGGGTTCGATCAAACGAGTGCAAAGTCTTTGGGAGTATTTTCACTATGTTTACGGGGCTGCAGAAATTACGAGTACTGAACTTACGTTTCGGTGGACTTGGTCTTGATATGTTCTCATTCCCAGATTCAATTTGTCAGCTGAAGCATCTGCGTTATTTTGCTTTCCGGGTGCCTCCACTTACGAAGCTAACTTTACCGACTGTTTTTACCAAGCTTTACCACATTCGGGTGGTAGATTTTGGTTTGTGTGGTAGTTTGACGTCTTCTAGTGGTGAAGATATGATGAACCTAGTCAACTTGCGCCATGTAATCAGCATTGCAAATCTGGAATTTCCAAACGTTGGCAGATTGATATGGCTCGACACACTACCATTCTTCACAATAAGGAGGGAACGGGGGTATGAGCCACATCAGCTGAAACACCTAAACAAGCTTCAAGGCAAGCTGTTGATCAACGGTCTTGAGAATGTTGAGAGCAAGGAAGAGGCTCTTGAAGTCAATCTTGCCGGCAAGGAAAAACTCACAAAATTGGTACTCGAATGGGATGATGATAGCTGCACTCCAGAAGTTCAAGCAGAGGTTCTTGAGGGTCTTTGCCCATCGAAGTATCTTGAAAGATTAGAAATCAGGAATTACTATGGCAAGAGGATACCAAATTGGATTACGGGTAAGCATAATGGCAGGCCAAAGAACTTGCAAGAACTTACATTCAGAAGATGGACCCAGCTGGGACCTGCTCCTGACCTTGGGGCTTTCATTCATCTTGAGTCGCTATTTCTTTCTGACTGCAACTGGGATGCCTTACCAGGCAACATGGAGCACCTCACATCGCTCAAGCAACTGGATATACAGTCATGCAAGAATATACGATCGCTTCCAACACTGCCCAAGTCTCTTGAGTGGTTAACCATTAGGAACTGCAGCAGGGATGCCTTACGAGGAAATATGGAGGACCTCACATCGCTCAAGAAATTTCAGATCTGGAATTGCAGGAATGTGAGGTTGCTCCCAACACTGCCCAAGTCTCTTGAGCAGTTTATAGTCGTGGGCTGCAAGTGCGATGCCTTACCAGGCAATATGGAGCACCTCACAGCACTAAAGAGACTGGATATAGATTCATGCAAGAATATAGTGTCGCTTCCAACACTGCCCAAGTCTCTTGAGGAGATTAACGTCAGGAACTGCAGCAGGGATGCCTTACGAGGAAATATGGAGCACCTCACATCGCTCAAGAAATTTGTGATCTGGAATTGCAAGAATATGCAGTCGCTCCCAACACTGCCCAAGTCTCTTGACGAGTTTAAAGTCGGGGCCTGCAGCTTCAATGCCTTGCCAGGCAATATTGAGCACATCACATCACTCAGGAGACTGGGGCCCAATTCTTTTGCCAGAATCTGTGGATTCTCCTAGAATCCGACCCCTACCCAGCTTCTCCCAGAATCTTTGAGCCCCGTTTGTTTTAAAATCCTGTCTAATTAGACCCTCACTAGATAGGATTGTAAAACAAATGGGGCTCAAAAATTCTGGGAGAAGCTGGGTAGGGGTCGGATTCTGGGAGAATCCCCAGATTCTGGCAAAAGAACTGGGCCTGGATATACAGTCATGCGAGAATATGCGGTTGCTTCCAACACTTCCAAAGTCTCTTGAGGAGTTTATCATCTTTAACTGCAGCTTGGATACCTTACCAGGCAATATGGAACACCTCACAACACTCAAGAAACTGAGTATCTGTATCTGCATGAATATGCGGTTGCTTCCAACACTGCCCAATTCCCTTGAGGAGTTTATCGTTAAGGACTGCGGCTTGAATGCCTTACCAGGCAATATGGAGCAACTCACATCACTCAAGACGCTGGAGATAAAGTCATGCAAGAACATGCGGTCGCTTCCAAAACTGCCCAAGTCTCTTGAGGAGATTGCAGTCTGTTACTGCAGTGACGAGTTCACACAATCTTGTGTAACGACTGATGATCCAAACTGGCAGAAGATTGAGCACATTCCAAAGAAAACAATTAAATTCTATAGTGAAAAAGGTCCACACGAAAGGTATGTAGTTAGATTCTTTTGATGTCTTCGTCTTCCATTTTTTGTGTTCAATAAATGTTGCTGGTACTTTTCTGATGGTTGCTGGTATTTTTTCTGATTCAGTTGCTAACTGTCAACCGCGTGCCCTTTGGTTGAAGACGGGAGACGAAGTCGAAGTCGAAGCTGTCAGACTGTTGCTAAATCTACATGCTCTCTTACTGGGTAGCCTCTTCGTTGGGTTATGCCTACTTCGGTTTGTCGAGTCTTGCATGTTTAAGCGTGAGGTGGTGCTGCCCTCTACTCTCATAAACTACAGGCGCTGCAAAATGCCATGTCTCCATGCAGCCATGAACAACGGATTTATGAGTTGTTTACTATATATGGATTTTTGAGTTGTTTACTGTATACGGATGTAATAACGTGGAACGATGGAACACCAGATTGATTTGCTTCGTAGTTCATATATACAATTTCTACCATTGTTGTATGCATGATGAAATCCAAACTGTTTGATTCCTAGCTATATAGTATGATTTGTAACACTTTGGAATGATTATCACTGAATTCGTTCCTTTCCTGTCGTCGTTTGTAACATGGTTCACCAAAGTATCCGATTTAATTGCGAGGAATCAGGGGCTACATAAGCATGGTATGGTAAGAGGTTACCAGATTGGGCGAAGCTAACAGGGGGACCTGCTCCTGACATTGAGGCTTCCATTCATTTTCAGTAGTAGAATGGTAAAATGCTTTAGTGGTTGCAATCAACGTGCATTGTAATTAGAGATTGCATTTTTTTCCCTCCTGGATGGGCATTCAGGGAAAGTGCTCTCACACGGCAGCCCGTTCTCTGTTCTGCACACGCTCTGGTTTTGGGCAGACACAAGTTTTAATGTGTCCGCTTAGGCCTGCAAATACGATTGATATAAATCCTTTGGTCTTGGAGGAATGATGCAATATATTTTGCGATCGCGATCGAGTATTTGCTCTTTTCTATTTGCTCATTTTAATCAATGAAATCAGCGCTGCTGCCTTTTCATTTAAAAATGTTCAAAAGAAGGATGTGACCTGTAGCATGAAAACAGGAACGGCATAGACTTCTGACCACTGCCAAGTTAAATTCTGCAGATCATCACGCCACATGCTATCTTATCAGCAAGGTGATCACATCTGTGACAACTCCACAAGCTATCAAAACAGCGACCACTTTGTACTCTGAAAGCTGGTCTGATGACGACTCCACTGAATCTGGACAAACAAACAGACACAAGTTAAGACACCAGAGAAGAAACTTGGGTCCAACTTGGTACACATATTCGAGATCTTGCGAGCTATAAAACAAACAAATTATAGGCGCTTGTGTAGGATCTCACTGGTAATACTGCCAGACAGAGACACAGGCACGTCAACATAAGGAAACTGAGCCATGAAAGACTTAAGTCACGAGAATTGGTCCGTTCATTTTCCAGGAGTCAATATACTACCTAGGCACCTGGCAGTATAACAAACAAACTTGAACCGGAAAAAACAGGGAAAGAAACTGGGTGTATTGGTAGCGACAACCAACACACTGCTGACTCATAATCGGGTGCCGTCTACCATCCTAGTACAAAACTCAGTCACAAAGAAGAAATAACTAGAAAAAAGGGTGTACACATAATAATTGCTAATACACGATCCCTGTACTTCTTTCTTTTACTTTTGTTTCATCGCTACCATGTGCTTGCAAAATATAAGACATTACGTCCATCTACATCAAGTCTATCTACTGTGTGCTTGAGGCATTCACCAGTAATAAGAAAAGAAACTGCATCAATCGGAGGATCTGTAGGTCAGTCCAGTTCAGATCCCCCTGTTTATGGATGGATGGAGCTCTCAGCTTAGAGCTGTCCTCATCCTAGTGGAGAAGAGCAATAACAAACAACCGAGTCCAACTACATGCTGCGCTAGTGTTTTTCTTTTTGTCCGACATCACTTAAAATGGTCCACTGTCATATCTAGTACAGTTTAAAAAAGATATGAATTGCAGACATAGATCCGTTAGCTTTACCCACAGTTCTGTTGATTGAAACTGGTCA